GTCCTCCAGCGCCATTTTGCCCCATGCGGCTCTCTGCGAGCTCCGGATCAGGTCCCTGTTATCTCGGCTCTACGGGCTCCTGTCTGGCTTGAATTTTTTATTTTTGCGGCCCATACTTGGTTGTGTGGTCCAGGGGTTGTAGTCCGGGTATTTTGCAGATCTCTTTGCCAGTATTTTTGGCCGTTATTGGTAAGTTTGAGAGGAGCACAGCGAGTATGCGACTGTCCAGGTTCACCGCTAGGCTCCGCCTCCTCGGCATAGGCTATGTTGTACACCTCTGCGACCTGCTGACATACTTGAAGTAGAGGAGGCACGTCTCTGTGACTTTGATAAATTGTGTGCGTGGGTCTGGGAGATCTTGCGCGACCGCATGCTTCCTCGCATCCCTCTAGACTATGCCAAGACCTCACGGCTCCGGACTACAGATAGACGCTGCAGAGTGAGGCCTCTTCTGGATATCCCCCGTATGGTACCATGGGCAGAGGGTATTGTTGCCACCAAGAGCAAGACAGTGGCCCAGGAAACCAGTGTCCGGACATGGCCGTACCTCAGGAAGCAGCCGACCAGAGTGTGAGGGGGCCTGGGACCGGTGGGGGATCCTGATCAGCCAAACTAGATTTCAGTGCTATAGATGTTTAAAAATATGTATTTATTAATTTTGGGCTAAAAAAATAGTGGTCGTCTTATACATGGGGGCATCTTACACACGGAAAAATATGGTATATAGCAAGCTGGTGAGGGTAGCACACTAATCTAGTAAGGGACACTATAGCTTTAGGAATCAACTAATGGAGTGGATACCTAATGGAGCGGATATACTGAGACTGAAAAAAACACTTATTACCACTACACTTGGTACAAGCTAGCGGAAAAATGATCCCACGCTGAGGTTCAAAATATGCCTTTTGAAATACCCTGGGATGTCTTCTTTAAGAAATGATATGGCTTTATGGGGTATTTGGATTATATAGCCTGGTAAAATACTCTAAAATGGGACATAGGCACAGCGTAAAAATTCAAAGTTTGAAAAAAAACTGGAATGGCTGTGTCCCAAATGTGCCCCTCCTAAGTCCACACATACCTGGCAAAGGTACATACAGGGGTATTGCTGTACTCAGCCGACATAGCTGAGCAACATATGAAGTATTATACAGTCGTAGCACACATAAGGTTTGCAAAATATACTGTGCAAACTCACTTTGTATGTCAAAAAGGCAGAAAAAACGCTTATTACCACTACATCTGGTACAAGCTAGCGGAAAAATGATCCCACGCTAAGGTTCAAAATATACCTTTTGAAACACCCTGGGGTGTCTACTTTAAGAAATGGTAGGCCTTTGTGGGGTAGTTTGAATTTAAAACCTGCGAAGATGCTTGGAAATTGCACATAGGCCCAGTGTCAAAATTCAAAGTTCGGTAAAAACGGATATGGCTTGGTCTCCTATATGGCACTGTAGCTTCACGAAATAGTGCCAAAGACATTCATTGGGGGTGTCTTTTTACTCAGAAGACAGCATAATTTGGGAGGTTTGAACTTAGTGGCACATATGAAATATACAAAACGCCCAGCAAAAATGCAATCCGTATGTAAAAAATGCACAAAATAATTTTTTACCACATACTTTGGCATATATTGGTGAAAAAATGGGGGTATGTTAAGGAACAATATGCACCTTATGAGATACCCTGGAGTGTCTACTTTTACAAATGGTAGGCCTTTGTGGGGTTTTTTTGAACAGTCAAACTCTTACCTGGGGGCCGGCCACGTTCCTGGCTGGAGCCGCCGGGCCGGGTGGCAGCTTCCCCGGTCCGGCGGCACTCCACTCACTGCTGTGGCTGATGGAGGAGGAGCATGTCTCTCTACCATGCTCCCTGGTGGTTCCTGTGCCGGGAACTGCGAGGGAGCATGGTACAGAGACATGCTCCTCCTCCATCAGCCACAGCAGTGACAGGAGCAGGGCCGCCGGACCGGGGAAGCTGCCACCCGGCCCGGTGGCTCCAGCCAGGAACGCGGCCGGCCCCCTGACTTCTCCAGGTAAAGGGGAGAGAGGAGAATAGAGGGAGGAGGGGAGACACAGGAAAGGGGGGGAGGGAGGAGGGAGAGACACAGGGAAAGGGGAAGGGGAATAGAGGGAGGAGGGAGAGACACAGGAAAGGGGGAGAGAGATGGGGAGGAGGGGAGAGACACAGGGAAAGGGGGCAGGGAGAGAGATGGGGAGGAGGGAGAGTCACAGGGAAAGGGGGTGAAAGAGGCAGAGGGGGAAGAGAGAGACAAAGAGGTAGAAATGAGAGAGAGACACACAAGGGGAGGGGAGGAAAGAGGCAGAGGGGGAAGAGAGAGACTGGGAAGGAGAGGGAAGACATTGACACAGAGGAGCAGTGAGGGGGAGAAAGAAACATACAGAGTGACTGGGGGAGACAAAAAGGCACACAGAGGGGCTGGAGATAAAGAGACACACATAGGGGCAGTATATATCACTGGTGGATGGGGGGGGCAATGGGTCCCCCCCCAAGGCTTTCCCCTGCCGGCCGATCTCCCTCCCCGTTCCACAGGCACCGTGCAGCCAGTCGGCAGGGGAGGAAGAGAGGACCTGGGGCTACGCTCCGGCTCTCACGAGGGTGAACTCTAGCCCTGGAGCTACGGGCTAGAGTTCACTCTCACCACTTCCTGGTGGTCCCAGTAGTAGGGGTGAACTCTTGCCCCACACACACACACACCATACACATTTACACACTGCCCACCCACACACTGAACCTTTCACACACATTGCACCACTGCTCCTATACCATACTCTAGCCCCATATCCCAGCAGACTCCAGGTAAGTTGTCAAACTGTTCTTAAACGGTTTGACGACTTACTCTGGGAGGGGGTGCCGACGCTCCTGGCACCATAACCACTACACAGAGGAGTAGTGGTTATTGTGCATGGAATATTTCTTTAAATAATCTACAAGTGCCCCTCTCAGGCTCTGGATCCGCCACTAGTATATGACATGTATATTAATGTGTGTATTAGTTTTATATATATATATATATATATCACACCTATTATATTTACACATATTAATGTACATTTATAAATGCATAATACACAGAGAAATTTCATTAATATGTACCATATGTAATGAGCAGATATTGGCCCAGTCTTGTTGCTAGGTGCATACTCCAGCACAATAACATATTTAAAGTGAAGAGCACACCCACAGGACTTCAAAATAAACATTTTTTACAGTTGTGCCCTACATACATTCACCATTTCAGTCCCATTAACAAGCTTTCCTTAATATGTCAAGGTAGTTGGACTGAAACATTGATTACATGCAAAGGCACGTCTGCTTAAAATAAATCTGCACTTTTGTTTATTTTGAAGCCTATGAGTGCGCTTTTTACGTTGAAGTACTTTTTAATTTTAAGTTATCTGTTCTAACTCTGTATCTGCACACTATGCTGGCGCGACGCATTATGGGGCTGGTAAATATTTTTTTTCCAGGGCTGCTTTTAATTCCCAGTCCGGCCCTGCCTGTAACTACCAAAAAAACCTTAAAATCCCAGACACATTATATATTCTGTAAATCAGAACAACTAAATTAATTTATTTTTAATTACTTTTCTTAACCTGCACTAATTATGCACACATTATTATTGCAAAAACTGTAAAAAAAAAAAAAACACAAAATTTTCATTTTTTTTACATTTTTCTGAATTGTTTTATAATAAATAAGCATTTATATATATATGTGTGTTACATCAAATTAAAGCCCTTTCTGTCCTTTAAAAAACGATGTAGAATATGTGTTGGTGCAACAAATTAGGAAAATACAAATTGCAGTTGAACGCAAACAGCAAAAAATGAAAAAAATGCTGTTGTAATTAAAGGACCACTATAGTGCCAGGAAAACACTCGTTTTCCTGGCACTATAGTGCCCTGAGGGTGCCCCCACCCTCAGGGACCCCTCCCGCCCGGCTCTTTTAAGGGGAAAGGGTTAAAAACTTACCTTTTTCCAGCGCTGGGCGGAGAGCTCTCCTCCTCCTCTCCTCCTCCGGGACTGAATATGCACGCGTGGAAAGAGCTGCGCGCGCATTCAGCCGGTCTCATAGGAAAGCATTTACAATGAAAATCACAGTGAGAAGCACACAAGCTCCTCTAGTGGCTGTCAATGAGACAGCCACTAGAGGATTAGGGGGAAGGCTTAACCCATTGATAAACATAGCAGTTTTTCTGAAACTGCTATGTTTTTTTAAAAAATGGGTTAACCCTAGCTGGACCTGGCACCCAGACCACTTCATTAAGCTGAAGTGGTCTGGGTGCCTAGAGTGGTCCTTTAAGTGAAAGACAAGCTTTTGAAGCTCTGTCTTTAAGGGGTTATATTAAAATCTATTTAAAATCCCATGTTCACTATTAATGGAAACACTCTGCAAAAGTTTTAGTGACCATAAAATGAACAGCAAAACAATCATGCAAAATTCTACAAATTAAAAAAATGAGCCCCTGTCACCTGCTGTACATTGACTTTGAGGTTATGACCCCCTCCAAAATAACAGACTAAATACATCCCTAATTTCCATCTATACAGCATGCATAGCAGCTCCCAATAATTGGGCTCAACCCAAACCCTTAGTCATGTGACCTGAACCATAAACAGGATGTATTGTGTTTATTGGTAACACGTGGACTCTCCTGCAAACAAATTCTCGCGAGACAGCGGGATGTAAACAAAGGCAGCGTCTCCCCCCCTCCAGCCCCATTGTCCCTAGTACCCCCATGTGTAGCTGCCCAGGATAGGTCATTCTATGGGCCGCCATAGTGGAGACAGAGCGCTAAACCTAGCGCCAGCTACCAGACCCAGCATAGTCAGTGTATGCAGGCTCACTGACAAGGAGCCCTACGTCATCACTTCGACAGGCCCGCCCCCTGTCCGTGATTGGCTCGCACCTTGTGACTGACACCGGCGGTAGAGCGCAGGCTGCGCTGTGATTGGTCGAGCGCCGCTGTTCCGCTTTCCTTGTTGCTGTATGTGTGTATTTGCTGCTGTAACTGGACTGAGTGTCTCACAATAACAGGGGTGCAGAGTCTGAGTGCCAGCTGACAACAGGGTGAGTGTGGCAATGGGGCAGCTAGCCAAAACACACAGGGCTCACACCCCAGCCATCAGTACTGGCCACATAGTAGTAGTCCTAGGGCTCATTAACCCCAGCAGGGTTTATTATAATGCCATGGCACAGCTCACTGGCCATATGTAGGCAGCCAGTAGCCCAGGAGCTGGGTGGCACCTGGCTTGACTTGTGTCATGGCCCCTCAGGTAACACGTGGGAGATCCTTTCATTGTAAAAGAAGATTACATTGCTATTTCATGTGATATAATGTGTGTGTGTGTGTGTGTGTGTATAGGGAGGATTTAAGGGTATTTAGATACAACTCTGCTGATCTGTCACACAAGACAATGTTACTTGTTAACTTATATTTGAGATTGCAAGCTTCATTAAATGGGGGTCACAACAAAAGGTGGGAAAAAAAACCACCCCAAAAACAAAACCATTCATGATTTAGATCTATCTATATCAAGGAAAACCTTGTCTTCATATCTAGATGTTAAGTTTTAGGCTTTTGGGATTACACATTTAGCCACTTAGATATTTTATGATACACTGGCACCCCAGATCTCCTTATAAAAAAATAAGTCCTTTTGTTCACCCCAGCTGTATAGTTAGTTACAAGTTATATTTTATGGTTGCTTTGTAGCAAATTATTTTCTCAAGCGTAACACCATGCAGAGTTGGTATTCTCGTAGTAGGTGTAAATTTTTATGCAAGAGATGAGTTTATTCAGGTTTCAGTCAAGCACTTTAATGTTAAAGGTTACGGTAATTAATATCAAATCTTTGGAACCTTATAGTGAACGGATACAGAAGTTAATATGGCCTTGACAGTTTGGCTCTGCTTACTGCCACCTGTTTCCACTATTTTGGAAAGAGTTCATATCTGAATTTAAGCACATTTATTTTAAATTTACAATATTGCAATGGTTGCTGTAGGTTATGGTTGTCACTGAGTTATTATACACACATGAAAACACATTTATTATAATAAATATTGGAATATGTACACACACACACACACACACACACACCCATAAGTCTCTACACATCCATATATTTATCCAGTGTATCTGTGTGCTGGATAGGTAGGGACTTATGTGCCACCCTGTGTATATATACATGTATATAGATAATACATTGTTAAACAAAAATCTGCACACCAGTCAAGCCATAAGACTTGCTTTTCCCACAGAAATCACAAATCTGCTGTTTATGTTACAACCGCAAAGGATTCTGGGTGGGCACATACAAATTAGTTGCACAAAGAATCACATTTTTGTCTCATTCCATTTTAAACATTGCTTCCTTTGAGTCTGTGTTTGCTGTAAGTCTTAAGCAAGTCTTATGGCTTCACTGGTGTGCAGATTTTTGTTTAAAGGACCACTCTAGGCACCCAGACCACTTCAGCTTAATGAAGTGGTCTGTGTGCCAGGTCCAGCCAGGCTTAACCCACTCTTTTATAAACATAGCAGTTTCAGAGAAACTGCTATGTTTATGAATGGGTTAAGCCTTCCCCCAAAGCCTCTAGCGGCTGTCTCACTGACAGCCGCTAGAGGCGCTTGCGTGATTCTCACTGTGAAAATCACAGTGAGAGCACACAAGCGTCCATAGGAAAGCATTGATAATGCTTTCCTATGCGACTGGCTGAATGCGCGCGCACATTCAGCCGACGGGGAGGAACGGAGGAGGAGAGCTCCCCGCCCAGCGCTGGAAAAAGGTAAGTGTTTTTCCCCCTTTCCTCCTTCCAGAGCCAGGCGGAGGGGGACCCTGCGGGTGGGGGCACCCTCAGGGCACTATAGTGCCAGGAAAACGAGTATGTTTTCCTGGCACTATAGTGGTCATTTAACATTGTATTAACTATCCACAGACTTCAGGTGGAAGGGGTTTTCAATCCCAATTTTTTCCCCACCATAACCTGTTTGGTTTTTGCTTCCCAAGCATTATCAAGCCTCAATAACCAGTAACCAACCTCATGCTGATGATTTGTATTTACAATGAAACAGCTGTCCATGAGTGGTTCTCTGGCTTTGCATCTTTTCCTAAGTTGTGTTTCACAGCTGTTGTATACAGCAAACACAGACTCCAAGGAATCCATGTTTAAAATGGAATGAGGCAAAAATGTGATTCTTTGTTCAACTTATTTGTATATGCCCACCCAGAATCCTTTGTGGTAGTAACATCAACTTTCTGTGGGAAAAGCAAGTCTTATGGATTGACTTGTATGCATATTTTTGTTTAACATGGTTTTAAAGGACCACTATAGTGCCAGGAAAACATACTCGTTTTCCTGGCAGTGCCCTGAGGGTGCCCCTACCCTCAGGGTCCCCCTCCCGCCTGGCTCTGGAAAGGGGAAAAGGGGTATACTTACCTTTTTCCAGCGCTGGGCGGGGAGCTCTCCTCCTCCGATCCTCCTCCGTTCCTCCTCCTGGGCTGAATGCGCACGCGCGGCAAGAGCTACGCGCGCATTCAGCCGGTCACATAAGAAAGCATTCATAATGCTTTCCTATGGACGCTTGCGTGCTCTCACTAGGAAAATCACAGTGAGAAGCACGCAAGCGCCTCTAGCGGCTGTCAATGAGACAGCCACTAGAGGATTAGGGGGAAGGCTTAACCCATTCATAAACATAGCAGTTTCTCTGAAACTGCTATGTTTATGAAAAAATGGGTTAACCCTAGCTGGACCTGGAACCCAGACCACTTCATTAAGCTGAAGTGGTCTGGGTGCCTAGAGTGGTCCTTTAACTATCCACAGACTTCATGTTGAAGGGGTTTTCAATTATGTTTTTCCCAACCATAACCTTCTTGGTTTTTGCTTCCATATCTATATAATAGCATATGAAGTGCCCTCAGTGGACGTGTGTTCAAATGAAGCACTGTAAATTTTATTTACATACAATTAAGGTTGTCAATGTTTCAGTCCTCAAACAGACTTTCATCAGATCTTTAAATATCATTATTCTTCCCAGGACTTGCTCCTTTCATTTCTTGCTCCCATTCCCAACTCTAGAACTCTAATCTTACCGCCTGTCAGACTCTCAACCATGTTTTGCAACTTTAAGCATACTGTAAAATTCAAATTAAAAAGTTAAATTACAATAAGCAATCCACCTCGTCCTTCTAATCCCCCATACACAGTTCTAATTTACCAACGGGGTTATCCACTAACGTAAAAATTCGAAGAGAATTTCAAAGTTACTGTCGAAATAGTTAAACTGGAAAGGTATTTTTTTTTTTTTTTTTCTAACTCAACTATGCTTCCAGTTCTGCTACTTTGGCATTAAACTTTAGTGAATGACCATGAATGTCTCTAACTTTTCACCCGCTTTAGCCATCACTTATCCATACTGCTTATCAATTGCCCTCATAATTGCCTTCTCTTACCTCTTGTATTTGTCTTTGTATATTGTACGTTTCTCCACTAATTGTACAGTGCTGCGGAATCTGTTGGCACTTTATAAATAGCAATAATAAATAAATTAATACAATTTCCTTGTCCATGTTTTCCTTTAACACGTGTCTCTGTAACCCCCAAACTCTACCAGATTTTAAGGAAAAGACCAGGGCTATCAACCCTCTGCACCAGTACATACTTGCATGTATGTTCTCTAAATTTTATGTAATATCTGTTACGTCATCATATATGTAACTTTGTTATACTGGCCAACGCTGAAGGCACAGCTAGCATTTTTTTAAAACCATAAATAGTGTTGTTTTGTAAAACCTTTAGATTTTTTTTAATGGCAAATATATGAATTACACCTAATATTTAAATATTGACTAGGCTGTATATTTATTTCGCTAAAAGGGTTAATCCGTTTACATTTAAGTTGTTATTTTTTATTATAATAGTCTTATTTTACCTATATCTTTAAGTCCCCCCACCTCCCTGTTTTTGTTTTTTTTGAGCGAATAGCCTTTCAAAATACTTTAAAGCTTACATAGAACCACGGTCCAGGCCAAGTTCTTCCTGATTTTTTCCACTACTGTTTTGATATCACATCATCTTTTTCCAGGTTCAATTGCAGTCCAATTAAATACGTCCCATAGAGAAGCAATGATGAATCTTTGGCGCATGAGCTAAATTTTGTTCTTATTTCACTGTTCAGAGTTTTAAACCCCTTAAAAATCATACTTTGGATTTCCCACTGGCCATCTAAAAGAAGCACTCCAACACTGTTGTAGTGGTTATGGACCCCTTCCCCTACCATTGTAAGTAGTCAAACATTTTTCAAGTGTTTGCCATGTCAACACTATTGTGTTTGGAATTTTGACTCTCCATAGCAAGTAGTGAAGCTGGGGAGTGGCACCTGGTGGACTTCCGGTTTTGTTTTTTGGGACCGTGTGCTGTGGAACCATAATGACTATATAGACGGTTATGGTGCTTGAAATGTTCTTCTAACTATTCTTATATTTAAAATCATATACTTTTTTAATTTATTTTTTGTCTACTAGACATTTCTTTTGTCAGGCACTTCGTATTAATCTTCAGTCTGTATTGTGAATTTAAATGTTATATGCATTATCATAAAGAGTATGTAATTAGTCATCTGACTTTTCTCGTTGTGCTGCATTATATCCACATGTGAAGAAATCTGGCTTGCCTCTACATTGCTATATCTGAGATCAGCAATTACTGTCATGAATGTAATCTAAAAGACTGGTTTATCCTTTTACAGTTGAAGGGTTAACAAGTAATCAACATATCAACTTATGATTCATACAACATTTTGCTCAAAGCTGTTCTACTGAATGGTAGTGGTGATTTGTCACTTGGCCTAGAATCTAATGCTGGAATGTTTGTGACACAGGCCTGGTCATTTAACTGCACATTTTACGTTAATTGTGATTTTATTAAGCAATTGCCAACTTAAAGGACTAATGACTCATTATAATCCATTTTGTTTTCTGTTATTCCTGGTTCTTCCATTCTTGATAGTTGCAATATTAATAGTTTTTGTTTTTAAAAATATGTCTGCTAAATGGCTTTTCGGGCATTACAATCATTATCCCTCACTTACTAAACCTTTTTAACTCTATACTGCGACATTGTTCCTTACATAATGGTACGCTATATGCAAATTTGATTACTCCCAGGCCCAATAAAACACATTAGGATCCTGTATATTATAATCCAATCTCATTATTCACATTAATTTCTTTATTAAAATATAAGAAGATATTAATTATAAGTTGGTAGACCACAATTTTCTACTGAAAACGTACTCGTACTAGGTGGGACTTGTCCTCACATGCCACGCAGATGAAAAACCCTCTACATTCCTTTGCAGTGAGAGGTCTGTCCATTTTCACCCTTGCATTTTTTTCCCCTCTTCATAGAACCATTCCTACATGCCATAGGAGACATCTCCTTGATTTCAGATATTAGTTAGCTTGAAAGATTTTTAAAGTTGCAGCTTATGCCTATGACATTTTATTGAATATCCCTTACATCCCTCCTGCATTTGCTAAGCCTTTTGGACTCCTATTTGGTGATGTTGAAAAATACAATTTGGATAAGATGTACACCTTAGCCCAGTGATGGTGAACATTTTTGAGCCAGAGTGCCCAAACCACAGTACAAACCAACTTTTTTCCCTCAAAGTGCCAACACAGCAATTAAACCTGAATACTGTGGTTTAAGTTTAGAAAAACAACTCATACAGTTGCCTTCCATCCCACCCACCAACGATACGAAAGCAGAGTAGGCGCCTGCCGTTTTGGGCAGGCAGGTGCCTACTCAGCGTTGCCGCCGGGGGGACTTTGGCCCCCCTGGCGACTAGGCTAAACACATTTCCTAACTGCCATTCAGGGACACTTACTTTCACAAGTGCATTTCATCAAATTTATACTTAAGACTGGCAAAAACATATCTGCCAGTGCATTTTTCAGTATTTCTGCAAACATTAACTGGCTACTTAGACACACGCATACTCACAGATACTTACATATATATATTGACACTCACAGATACACACACATGCTCACATATACACACTGACACTCAAAGATACACACTCACACCTAAACATACACATGGGCAAACACACAAATTGCAATTTACATTTGTTAACCATCCTCTGCACCCATATCTTTTTGTTTGCAGAGAGGTTAATTTCTGGGGCTGGCTGATGATGATGGGAGTCTGAAGGAGACGCTGCAGAGCTCTCTCTCCTGCCTCCTCTTCCTCTCTCAGTTGCTTCTTCAGTGTCCTGTCACCCTGTGCGGTCTGTATGCTGGGAGAAAGTAATAGTCACTTCCTCCCAGCACTCTCTGCAACATTAAAGAGGCCTGGTCTGCCAAAGGACTGCAGCACCCGACCAGGCCCCTGATGAGGTAGTTTCCGTATAGGAGCTGCACCGTTGCCGCCCCGCCCCCCCCTTGATCAGCCACTGAAGCGGCGGTGGTGCAGCTCAGCTCATTCCGGAACTCTACATTGTCCCTGTCAAGGTGTGTGTTTCTGTGTTTGTATGAATCTGACACACCGATACACACACTGGCAGACAGTGGCACACAGTGTGTATCTGTGTGTGTGTGTGTGTGTGTATGTATGTATCTGTGTGCCAAGGTGTGTATATCTGTGTTTGTATGCCCCAGTGTGTGTGTATCTCTGTGTCAGTGTGTATATGTATCTGACACACAGATATACACACACTGGCACACAGCTTCACACTGACACACACCTTTACACACGGATGCGGATGGCTCTGTGGGCCCTTTCAATAATCCAGTGGTCGTCTGGGATTTCTGGTAGCAAAGGTTTCTGCATAGAGAGGATGGTGCCATTGAGCGGACCCTCATCCTGCCGCTCTGGGAGGCCGAGGATGCAGAGGTTATTGCGGCGGGACTTGTTTGCGAGGTCCTCCAAGGCAGCCTCATTGGATTCCAGATGGGCGGCAAGGTGAGTGACTTGGTCACTGAGGTTTCCATTTGGTGATCCAAGGCGGCTGTTCTCGTGCACAGGGCGTGGATCTCTGCTATGACCGTTCTACACCCTGTTCCAAATTATTATGCAAATTCTATTTAAATGTTACAAAGATTAAATATTTTGTTTTTCAGTTTAACTCATAGATGGTATTGTGTCTCAGGGCTCTTTTGATCACTGAAAACAATCTCGGACACCTGTGATAATTAGATTGCCAGGTGAGCCCAATTTAAGGAAAAACTACTAAAGGAGGGTGTTCCACATTATTAAGCAGAGCACCATTTTCATGCAATATGGTGAAGAAAAAGGATCTCTCTGCTGCCGAAAAGAGTGAAATAGTTCAATGCTTTGGACGAGGTATGAAAACATTAGATATTTCACGAAAAGCGTGATCATCGCACTATTAAGCGATTTGTGGCAGATTCAGAGCACAGACGGGTTTGTGCAGATAAAAGCACATTGAGGAAGATTTCTGCCAGATTCATGCATCGGATAAAGAGAGCAGCTGCTAAAATACCATTACATAGCAGCAAACAGATATTTGAAGCTGCTGGTGCCTCTGGAGTCCCACAGACATCAAGGTGTAGAGTCCTCCAGAGTCTTGCAACTATGCATAAACCTTCTATTCGGCCACCTTTAACCAATGCTCACAAGCAGAAACTGTTGCATTGGGCAGAAAAATACATGAAGACTAATTTTCAAACAGTCCTGTTCACTGATGAGTGCCGTGCAACCCTAGATGGTCCAGATGGATGGAGTAGTGGATGGTTGGTGGACGGCCACCCTGTTCCAACAAGACTGTGATGTCAGCAAGGCTGTGAGTCATGTTTTGTGCCGGAATCATGGGAAGAGAGCTGGTCGGCCCCTTTAGAGTCCCCGAAGGTGTAAACATGACCTCTGCAAAGTATGTGGAGTTTCTGACTGACCACTTTCTTCCCTGGTACAGAAGGAAAAACCGTAATAAAATATTCATACATGACAATGCACCATCTCATGCTGCAAAGAATACCTCTGCATCAATGGCTGCTATAGGGATAAAAGGAGAGAAAGTCATGGTGTGGCCTCCATCCTCCCCTGACCTCAATCCTATTGAGAACCTTTGGAGCATCCTCAAGCAAAAGATCTATGAGGGTGTGAGGCAGTTTACATCCAAACAGTAGCTCTGAGAGGCTATTCTGACATCTTGCAAACGAATTCAAGCAGAAACTGTCCAAAAGCTCACAAGTTCAATGGATGCAAGACTTGTGAAGCTGCTATCAAATAAGGAGTCCTATGTTAAAATGTAACGTGACCTGTTAAAATGTTGTTATAAGTTTGATTGAAATAGCTTTTGATTTCAGTAAATATGCTGCAAACACAACAAATGACAATTTTCAGTTCTTTACAACCTATACAGTGTTTTGAAACTTACTGTGTGTAATATTTTGGAACAGTGCATTGTAAGTTTTTTGTTTTTTTTATGTTTAAAAAAATAAATAAAAAAATACTGTTATCATTCGGAGGTTTGTTCAATAAAATTTGAATTGTACTCTTATTAGTTGATAACATGAGAATTATGCTGACTGTTATTTACATCAATTATTTAGGTAAATGAGAAAAATATAATTTGCATAATAATTTGGAACAGGGTGTAGTGTTGCATTCTATTTCTTTGGCCAGATAGGATTTGACCGCCGCCAATTCGGTCAGTATGTGATAAATGTCAGCCGTCGGAATGTCTCATGGCTGGGAGGATTCCGATCTCGTTGGGGAAACAGGTGCGTGTGGACTGGCCTTGCCGCCCTCTTGTGCCTTGGGGCGGGAGGCCGCAAACATGTCTATGACCGCCGTACCCGTATCAGGGCTCCTTTTTATATGATTTGCGAGGGTTGCATTTGTACATAACGTCTCAGGGCAGAAAAGGTTGGTAAGATGCTGTTGTAAAAGTGCTTCAATTAACTGTTGGTTAGGAGGCCGGTGAGGCGTTCTAGACAAACACGTCTAGCTTGCTTCCTGGTCATGCCACGCCCTGTATTGTTTTAACATTTTTACTATATATTGTTTAATGGACTCCGCAAGATGCACACAAGCTACTGGTTAAATTATGGGCATTCTATTCATTACAGGTGCAGCAATATCAAAAATGTAATGAACACATCTGTTTCCCTTTTGACATCACAAAAGGATAGTAGCTTGCCCCAAGTTCTTGTTTTATTAGGTTGCCAAATTCATTAAATTCATTCGTTTTGTGTAAATTATAAATAAGAAAAGAGGGAGGGGTTATGGAGTAGGAAGACTACCACCACTACCCCAAAGAAAGATTACAGGAGGTACAAGGGGCTTAACCCCAAAATTAATAATGATCAGAACAGAGAAAATGGGGTGGGGAGTCCACTCACAAACAGTGGGTGGAGTACCTAACCCATTCAGAAGTACCTCCTAATATAGAGAGTCACATGAATAGGGTAAACAACCTTTATTAGGAAAAAATGCTAAAAAAAATTATCATTAATAATAATAATACTAATTATACTAAATACACCAAAATAGTGTATACACAGTGATAGAGTGAACACCAACACCTATAAAAGCCTGGGGAAACTAGTCCTACAGAGCCATACAGCTGAATATATAGTTAAGGTGAAAATAGAGGAAAAATCCACCTAAATACTTTAGTAGATATGTGGCAGCGCAGACTAGTCTAATCCCATTAGGAAGGAAAAAAGCATTACTGGGATAATGGATAGATTAATGGTGGTTATGATGCCTATAAATAAAGTATTTAGGTGGATTTTTCTATATTTTCACCATAACTATATATTCAGCTGTATGGCTCTGTAGGACTAATTTCCCCAGGCTTTTATAGGTGTTGGTGTTCACGCTATCACTGTGTATACACTATTTTGGTGTATTTAGTATTGTCAGAATATTTATATCAGCAGACATTTTGTGCTAAGAAAGAAATTAAGTGTATATTGCCAGAGTCACTCAGAACAGAGCAGACTCCATTTTGCTATCTTCAGAATAACAAAAACACATTTCCTTGATTTCACTAACCACTTGCTGAGCTAAGGAATGCATTATATAAACACAGACACTAGTGACAGAGAAGACTAAGTAATTAATTTTACTTTCTAAATTTTACAAGGTTCCATTGTAAGTAAGGGGTGAAATTGAGTTTATAACTGTCAATTTTAGAAATTACGATCAAAGTAGTTGCCACAAAGACTGAGACAAACGCTTTGAACTGACACCAAATCTAAGTTATGGTAGTCATTTTAGATAAGCCAAATGACGTCAAAATCGTCATCAGGAAAAGTTAACTCTTTCCTGGATAAGAAGGATTAGTTAGGCAAGACTGCCCTCTATGGATCAAATACCTAAATTGCGATCCATCGATTGAACCCATCTACGGTTTCCTATTGGCTTATAAACTAATGACGTACAGAGAGTCTGGCCCTTTAAAAGTTAGGACAAAGGGAAGAGAAAGTAGTTGGTAGAGAGACGAGTTGAAGTTTGGGGATTCCAGTTCGGACATGCAGAGAGAGAGACTCAAGAAACATTCTCTGGGACTAACACTCTACTCTTAAACTATCTTGGACACTCAACTCTTAAACTCCTTGACACTTAGAATTTTACTCTGACTTTCTAACCAACACCACTTTTCTCTATCACTCACGCACCTCCATACAACCAATCAAGTTCCTGGGACTACCTACTCATCTGATGAGAATATCTACATAACTGGTAATTATGCTGGTTTTATTTAATTAATTTAAATTAATTAAATCTTACTAATAGCATGATATATGACTGGATAAATCACGGTCAGGTTTCAATATTTAGAAATCTTAGTTAACTAAAGAATATATAGTTATAAACATTCCATTCTGCAGGTGGAATTAAGAATAATTATATATTAATGTGATAGTATCACATGTTAGCATACCGCTGTTTTTATCCAGGTGTATTGATTTGCTCTAAAATAAGATAAGATATCTTTTTAGGCAAATTAAAATTCGGCTTTTGTAAAAATCTGGTAGATCATTCTTATTGGATGGTTCCAGGAAATGATTAATGAGCTGTTTCGAATGTTATTTTAATTAAAAATCACATGAGAATAGGATATTATATGCCTAGGAGGATCTAGCCAGCATTGAAAGGGTTACTCACTCAGTTGATTTAACTGTTAGCCAAGGTTTCATGGCTGGGCTGTGTGAAGTTGACTTTCTGTGTCTGCGAAATACCTCATAAATCTTAATTGACAGATGATGCTGTTAGCCATTGGAACGTGTATAGCCATTCCATTGTATTGCATACTTATGTTATACTAAATACTCACTGATTATTATCATGCATGCTGCCTAATATTATTTGTTAATTAATTTGTTACAATAAATAAATCTATTTTTATAACAGATTGTGATTTTATTGCATGGAATACATTTCACTTATTTGATAAACGATCTCTAAGATCTAAGAGAATTGAAATAGTGGGCGATTCTCGACTGTTTAATATTATCATCCCATAAATATCCCCACAGTATAATTAGTATTATTATTAATGATAATTTTTTTAGCATTTTTTCCTAATAAAGGTTGTTTACCCTATTCATGTGACTCTCTATATTAGGAGGTACTTCTGAATGGGTTAGGTACTCCACCCACTGTTTGTGAGTGGACTCCCCACCCCATTTTCTCTGTTCTGATCATTATAAACTATAAAGTCATGGCTTGTAAGACTAACCTTGAAATATGCTATAACAGATTAAATTTTGTTCATTTAGTGTTGGTTTCCAAATAAGAGTCACATTGTTTAAATGCTTTTATAAAAATGTTAATGAAATATTGAGATAGACAGGCAATGAAAGAATATCAACAAGTGTATTGAGACTAAATGAAAAAGAAGTGAATAGTAATAATATGTATGGAGTGGATAGAAGTAGAGAAACAATTAGATGGGATGTGAGAGACAACCGGGAACAGTAGAGGGAGAAAGAAGGTCTAGGTTTATCTTCAGAAAGAGAAATATATCAAATCTGAGTCGGGCCTGAAAGTTGCTAACTTTTTTTTATCTTTTTTTTTTTTTTACACAGTTGTGCTTTAACGGTTAAGATAGAATTTAAACATGTCATCAGAATCTCCTCGCCGTCCAAGCAGGTGCACAGGAGGGGTGATGGTCCGACCTCAAGCCGTCACGTAAGAATAACTGTTTTCTTTCAATCCACTATTGACTAAATAAGTGATTTTCGTTTTTATGTTATTCTGGTTTAATTAATTAAATGAAAAAACTTTTCAGTTTACCAGTTTCTAGTTGTTTATGTTTTGGGTCAAAAATACAAACCTTTGTACAGTGATTAATATTAATACAAATGAAGACTGTTGTTCGGTTTAACATACTGGCTGGTCTTCTTTACGGCATGGAACCCATCATGTCTCATCTTTTAGAGTTGCCCTGCTAATATAATGTTGCCCAGCATTCATCCATGTGTAGCAAGCCTTTTGGGTTCACTGGAGGAAAGAGGCAAGCAAAGGTTGCCTGTTGTTGCAAGTTTCCTAGAACTCGGGAGCGCAACACTTAAATAGCTTTCTCCTGACTTCCATAGGTGAGCAAAGTAAGTAAATGCTTCAGGATGAATGCAGAATGCAGCATTTTTTTGCTGCAGAACTGGATGTTCTGGAGCTACTCTAGGTGTGTCCATTCTGCTTGGTGGTATATACATTTTGTGATCCCGGATTTATCACTAATTTCACAGGACACGAGAGACTTAAATTCTTAAAGGGACACTATAGTCACCAAAACAACATTCACCTAATGAAGCAGTTTTGTGTTTAGATCATGCCTCTGAAGTTTCACTGCTAAATTCACTGCCGTTTAGGAGTTAAATCACCTTTGTTTCTGTTTATGCAGGCCTAGCCACACCTCCTCTGGGTGTGACTGACACACCCTGCATGAAAACAAAATGTTTTCATTTTTAACCCCTTAAGGACACATGACATGTGTGACATGTCATGATTCCCTTTTACTCCCGAAGTTTTGTCCTTCAGGGATTAATCAGATGTAATTTATCTTAAAAGTTTTTATCGCCTGCTCTGTAAATTGAACTTTATTCACACACAGGAGGCTCCTGCAGGGTTTAGCAAACTATTCACACACCAGGAGATAAATTCTAAATTAAACAGAATTTGCATTAAAGGAAGGATAAACATTAGATGACTCTTTACAGGAAATGTTTAGGAATGCTGTGCAAGTCACATGCAAGGAGGTGTGCCTAGGATTGCATAAGCAATATGATTTAAATCCTAAATGACAGATAATTGAGCAGTGATACTACAGGGGTATGATCTGTACACCAATACTGCTTCATTAAGCTAAAGTTATTTTAATGATTATAGTGTCCCTTTAAATAATATACCGAATAAGAGAAAGTGTAGCGTTGAGTGACAAAAAGCTAATTAAAGCTGCAATGTTATGCTGAACTTACCTTTCCCCAATCAATCCGGATCTGTTCTTCATTTCTTCCTGTCTGCTCTAGTTTTCTTTAAAACATAAGACAAAGTAGGGACTATTTTGTCTTCTGGAGGTTTCCTACGCCTGGCCATCTATGACCAGCGGAAGAGAGAAAGGGTTCTCCGTTTCCTGTGGTCAGAGAAATTTTCCCACAATTCTTACCTTTCCTCTGTGATCTCGCAATACTTACTGTCAGTATTCCCGAACGTCCTGTCACTTAGACAGAACACTGGCGACTTTGTACGGATCAGAATTTCTTTTGAATGAATGAAATTCCATTCCGATTTGTGCCGCGGTTGCATCTTGCAGCCGCTTTGTAAATAACTCCCTAATTCCCACAGTATTGGGGAACTATCTACCAAAAAGCTGAAAGACCTAAATTGGTCTATGATGCAAATTTATTAATACTAACCAAAGCTTACTTAGGATTAGTAAATTCTGCCCTACTCGCTATATTGCGAGTAGGGGCATGTCTACTAAACAGTCAGCCCCCTAGTGTCCCCCCACCCGTGCCGCGCGAGTGTCCCCTCCCCCCCCCCATATTAACTGAAGGGGGGGAGACCTAGCATCCCGGCCCCCACCCATGAGCGGCCGGTAGGGGACCTATTGTCATCCCCCTCAGCCCCCACCCATGAGCGGCGGGTGGGGCCCTAAATGAAAATGGGGGAGGGACCTACAATCCTCCACTGGCCCCCATCCATGAGCAGCAGGTGGGGGCCCTAAATGAAAATGGGGGGGACCTATTGTCCCCCTCAGCCCCACCCATGAGCGGCGCGTGAGAGCCCTAAATGAAAATGGGGGGGACACCTACAATCCTCCCCCACCCCCCACCAATGAGTGGCAGATGGGGGCATTAAATGACTATGGGGGGACATATTGTCCTCCCCAGCCCCCTCATATATTTATTTATTTTTTAAAGTAAAAAAAATAAAAATGCCCCCCCCATTTTACACACTAAATATACTTACACAAACACACACACACACTCACACTCTGCATTCATTATATATACACACTACACAAACACACTCCATTCACTATACACACACACACACTCTGCATTCATTATATACACACTACAAAAAAAACACACACATTCTGCATCCACTACACAAAGGCACACACACTACATTCACTAATAAAATACTCTCACTGCATCCACTACACACACAAATATTCTTGAAAACGTAAAATATTCTGACTGGCATGTATATTTTGTGCATTTACCTTAATAAAAAAAAATTTGCAATAAAAGAAATATATGTGTATATACTCGAGTATAAGTCAACCCGAATATAAGCCGAGGCCCCTAATTTTAGCACAAAAAACTGAAAAAACGTATTGACTTGAGTATAAGCCTAGGGTGGGAAATGTAGCAGCTACTGGTAAATTTCTAAATAAAATTAGATCCCAATAAAATTACATTAATTGAATATTTATTTACAGTGTATGTATATAATGAATGCAGTGTGTTTGTGTAATGTGTGTGTGTGTATATAATGAATGCAGTGTGTGTGTGTTTGTGTAGTGTGTGTATATAATGAATGCAGAATGTGTGTGTTTGTATGAATGCAGTGAGGATATAATGAATCCAGTGTGTGTGTGCATTATATACACACACACTCATACAAACACACACTCTGCATTATATACACACACACTCATACAAACACACACTCTGCGTGTATATAATGCAGAATGTGTGTTTTATGTGAATGCAGAGAGAGTGTGTGTAAACTGGGTGGGGGGAGGGCATTTTTATTAAATTTTTTTAATGTTTAATATAATTATTTAAATTTTTTTTAATATTATTATTTAAATTATTTTAATATTTGTTTAATAATTTTTTTTTTAGCCCCCCTCCCTGACCAGGCAACAAGCAAGGCTAAAAATAAATAAATAATTAAACAAATATTAAAATAATTTAAATAATAATATTAAAAAAATTTAAAATAATTATATTAAACATTAAAAAAATTAAATAAAAATGCTAACATTCCCTGGTGGTCCTGTGGATGGGCTGTGCGGGGGGGGGGCCGGAGCAAGCTGTTACTTACCTTTACAGCCGCTCCTTTCAGCTTCCAGTGCCACGGGTCTTGCGAGATTTACACTGGGAGCTGAACGGAGGTGACCGGAGCTGCACAGAGCAGCTGTAAAGGTAAGTAACAGCTTGCTCCCGGCCCCCAACAGGACCGCCGGGCTTGTAATGAGCCCGGTGGTCCTGGTCTGTATTATGGCAATGGAAGTTGCCATAATGCAGACAGTGACTCGAGTATAAGCCGAAAGGAGGTCTTTTTCAGCACAAAAATTTTCCCGAAAAACTCTGCTGATACTCGAGTATATACGGTAAATAATAAACATATTCAGTTAACAGTAGATTTGTGTAGGAATAGTTTATTTGTTTTTAAATGGGAAATGTACAGAGTATCGGTAAGTTATCGGCTATTGGCTTGGAAGGTCACAGATTATCGCTACCGGTATCTGCTCTAAAAAAAAAATCAATATTGGTCGATCCCTATCCTCCAGTACAATTCCTAAAAGAAGGAAAGAAAGAAAGAAAGAAAGAAAAAAAAAAAAACAGATGTTTTGTTTATTTTCCACACTTAGCTCCTTAAGTACTCATGGGTGAATACCATCAGGCCATGTAGCTTTGTTTATACTAACATTCTTTAGTTGCTGCAGAACCTTGTCTTGAGTCATCCAGTGGGGTCTTTAATATTTTTTTTTTTGTGTGTTTAATTTGTAGGGAGCAGTCATATATGGAAAGTGTTGTTACATTTCTGCAAGATGTTGTTCCACAGGTCAGTATATCAAAACAAGAAACCGGGTCATCAAGCTAAGTAATGACACATCATTGTCTGGGAGCTCTTTTGTGTTAATCCTAACATAATGTTGATTTGTTTTCATTCATAATTACAAAACCTGGTTCCCCAAAACAGGCATTATTAATGACACAAGCATTTTTTTTTCAATGTATTTAGGCAACTATAATTTGCATGTTTCTCTTTAGGGAATCCCTATTTTTTTTAACGGCACACTATAGTCACCAGAACAACTACAGTTTATTGAATTTGTTCTGGTGAGTAGAATCATTACCTTCAGGCTTATTGCTGTAAACACAGTCTTTTCAGAGAAGATGCAGTGTTTACATTATAGCCTAGTGAGAACTCCACTGGCCACTCCTTAGATTGCTGCTAAAGGTGCTTCCTTCCTAGAGTTATCAAAACAACTTTAGCTTAATGAAGCAGTTTGGGTATATAGATCCTGCCCCTGCCGTCTCACTACTCAATTTTCTGCCATTTAGGAATTAAATTAATTTTGTTTTGGTTCATGCAGCCCTAGCCACACCTTCACTGGCTGTGACTCACAAAGCCTGCATGGGAAAAAAAGGTTTAATTGTCAATCAGATGTTAAATTACTTTAGACGTTTTTATCTCCTATTCTGTATATTGAACTTTAATCACACACACAGGAGGCACCTGCAAGGTCTAGCAAGCTGTTAACAGAGCAGTAGATAAGACATTCTAAATTAAACAGACTGTGCAATAAAGCAAGTGTAAACATTAGAGCTCCCTTTTTAGTATGTGTTTAGGAAGGCTGTGTAAGCCACATGCAGGGAGGTGTGACTAGGGCTGCATAAACGGAAACAAAAGGGATTGAACTCCTAAATGGCAGAGAATTGATCACTGAGAGGGCTGTTTGATTAAGCTACAGTTGTTTTGGAGACTATAGTGTCCCTTTAAACTTGCTGTATGACACAACTTTCCTGCATACCCTTGTCTGGGAAGCACAGGTTTGCTTCCCATAACAGGTTAAAAGTCTCCAACAGTTTTGTTGGCTTTGTGTACATAAACCTTATCTGCCTCTCTCCATTATCAGATTGTCTGTCCAAAGCTCCTGCAATAAATAATTCTCTCTTTCTCTCAGTGCTGCTGGTGCTTTAGTCAGACAGAGCCAGCACTCTCCTCCCCTACTTCCCCTTGCAGGCATTTCTTTCCCTTAGGCTGAATCAAGAAATGGAGGAACACCCAGAGGAGGATTTCACTGATAAAAAGAGACCTGCATAGTACAGCCTTCTTAACTCTGTGCTGGTCGGAACAGTTTGAATTGACTGACATCATGGGGGGAAAAAACGTTTTTTAAATCTCTGATTATAGAGTAACCTAGACGTTTGCTTGCAATTCTCTTAGGATAACATAAATCTATCATTTCAGATTGGTTTGTATTTTTTTGTGATAAGTACCTTTTTAACATCTAAGATTTTGATTCTATCTGCACTCATTTTTCCATTATCTCATTGGCCACTGTACTGAGCAGAGATGGGAAGCATTGAGGAGTGTGCCTGTAATTGGCTGACAGTTTCAGGTGATGATCCTTCAGGAGTGCATCTTACAAGCTTTCAATGTTTAATAGAGGACACATGTTGGAAAACCTAACATTGTTGACCTGGAGGCATTTTACCAACTTTCATTCATCTATACAACACACCATTCCATTGTACAGCCTGATGTGTGTTAGTTTTATTATCAAAAAAGGGCTTTATTTACTTAGCTGGTGATTGTGGAGGGCTGACAAAGGACCTTCAGAATTGATGGCAACAGGGTTAAGGTGGCAAATTCTGCCATTTTGGCCTAAAATGTGTGATTAATTTGACAAATTTCCAAAATTTCACTTTAGTACATAAAATTGTTAGACACATCCCCTAACCTCACTTAAAATAAAAGAATGAGCAGAAAGAAACCTCTTAGTGACCTTGTGAAGGTGCAAAATCTTTTCTTCACCCTCTTCACTTTGGTCTTCAGAAAAGTCATTTTAACTTGTTTTATCTGATGCTGACAATGTTAAAGCAGGGGTGCCCAAAAGGTAGATCCCCAGATGTTTTGAAACTACAACTTCCATAATGCTTTGTCATCCTAAAGGCATGCAAAGCATCATGGGAGTTATAGTTCTACAAAGTATGGGGATCTACCTTTTAGGCACCACCGTCTTAAAGGGTTACTCCAACCATTTAACACATTTTTTTTTTTTTTTTTTTTAATTAGCCTATTTAAAGAGTTCAGTGTTAAAACTAACCCTAATAAAAAGCAATAGTTACATGGAATCTAGCGCCTGTCAAGTTCCTGCGCTAGTTTCAACTACTGTTCTGATGTTCTTTATAATAGATATGCTCCGTATTAGGCTCTTTGTTATTTCATATGTGAAAATAAAAAAGATTGTTAAAAATATATATTAAACTTCTAGTATTTTATTTATTGTTTACACACCACATTAGTACACTTGGCTTTATTCATAATGTTCACCTTGTGTCATCCCACAGGCATACAGTGGGTCTCCTGCAACAGAGGAAAAAGAAAAAGTAGTTTGGGTCCGTTTTGAAAATGCAGATATGAATGGTGAGTATAACTTAGTGATACATATGTGCATTGCCTATTTATTGAATGACACATTCACTGTTTTATGCTATTTTTAATGTATTTTTTAGATTGACCATTAATAATACCATGGAAATTTAGCTTTTATACGTTCTTTATCAATTTACATTCATTTAAAATCGCCTTGACAGTCATTTAAAGTATAATTTATTCTTACATTTAATTGGGTTTGTTGGAGAAATCATATGCTTTTTTTAAAACCCAAGTTATGGCTTTTGGCTACACAGGCAATGATGCATCTTTCCCTTTCCCCCATGTTTCTCCCAAAAAAATGCTTCTTCACCTGTGTGTCCTTTAATCCCCCTCTTGAATTTTTTACCCTTTTTTGTTTTTCTTATACTCTTTTTGGAATGTCTTACCCCCTTTAGTTTATCTTATTCTCCATTTTTCTTGGTACCCTCCCCACATCTCCAGTCTATCTATTTGTGTCCTCCCGCACACAAAGCCTGTCTCATTTTCCCCTTAACCTCCCACAGAAATCTGTTCTGAACTTCAGGCTGTGTCTCTCTCTTTTGCCCACCCACAGCTCCAGCCTGTCTCTTTTGCGCCCTCTCCTCCCACAGCACCACTGTATCTCTTTTGCCCCCCACTCCCACACCCCCTCCCAACGTTACAGCCCCAGTCTTTCTCTTTTGCCAGCTCACCTGTAGCATGGCAGAGCACGGAAGAAGAGCTTGTTCCCCTCTCCCCAGTCTGACAGGGAGCTGCTATGTGCTCTCTGTGAACATTTCCTGTCAGACTGGATAGAAGGAAAAACTTCTCTACCACGAAACATGCTGTGACTGGCAAGAGGGGAGTGCTGTTCAGTGCAGACCTTGGAAGTGCGGTTACCGCTGCAGATCTCATGGAGGGGCCATAACTCAACGTCCGGCGGGCCGTAGGTTGTACGCCATATGTTTTTTTTTTTTCCTGGATTAATATAATGTTGTGACATATTAAAAATAAAGAATATTTATTTGTATGTTCGTGTCCCTTACTTTTAGATCATGCCCTCCCCTTATAAAGAGATATAAAACAAAACACTGTTCTTACTCACTACTCTAGAACTGGGCAATATTCTCTTTGCAGTAGCTTCTCTTCTTCTGAATCCACAAATGGTCTCTGGTCCTATCAAATGTTTCTCACACATTTGTGACCTACTGGCCATGCTTAGCAATTGCAGCACTCAGGCAGGCTGATGATCGTCAACAAGAAAAATGTAATTCAGCGAATCCTTATGCGATCACTGATCACTAAAAAATGTCCCAGCCCATGATTTTTATTCTGCTGCTCTCTTCCCTTACTTTGTTCTTAGGCGAGAGGGCAGAGAGTTCACCATTTTTTTCTTTCTTACTTCCTTTTTTTTATTGAAAAGTTTTTATTGATTTTCCAAAAATCAAAAAAGGGGGGGAGGAATACAGAAAGGAAAAGGGGAAGGGGAAGGGGGGATAGACAATACGTTGTGAAATGTCATAGAGCACAGTAATAGTGGGTACATGATCCAGTCTTCCATAGCAGCTTTGCTTTAACAAGTACATTCCATGCAAAGATAGCTTCTACATAGTTGGCTAGTATGACTGTGGGTAGGAAGGTTATCCTTCCGGACATTTTTTTTTTTTTTTTCATTCACAATTCTTTACTGGATTTTAAGTTTATGGGGTACAGAAAAGAAGGGGGAGAAGAGGGAGTTTTCATACATCGGCGCCTGTGCTTGTTACATGTGTAGTGGAGGGTTGGGGGTACAAGGGAAGTCACAGTTTGATCAATACAATATTCATTACATGGTAGACATATTCATGCTTCAAGATAATACTGTCGTGTTTGTTCCATGTTGTCTTTAGGTTTGATAGCTACATCTTAGTGGGTATACCATATTAGTCTCCAAAATATAGTTTTATAATTACATACATACATAAGTACATGCGTGTATTAGCGAGCGTGCACATTTTATACATTTAGATCTATCCAGGGTTTCCATGTGTTACGAAATTTTTGTGTTTCTGCGCTATCTGTCATTGTCATGCTTTCGTATATGTAGTATTGTTGTATCTTATCCCAGAGTTGGGTTTTGGAAGGGCATGTGTTTGATTTCCAGTTAATGGCTAATAGGTTTCTGGCGGCCAGGAGTACAATGGCACACTTCTGTTTGTGTGCTCTAGTGAGGCTGGTGGGGAATAAGAGCAGTAGATATGTTTGTGGATTTTTAGTTAGGGTCGGTATAGCCAATTTGTGGAGTGTGTTTTGGACCTCTGTCCATAAAGGTTGAATTTCTGGACAGGACCACCAGATGTGTAGCAGTGATCCTACTTCCCGTGAGCATCTCCAGCATAGAGGGGAGTCTGTGGGGTATATTTTGTGGAGTTTTTGTGGGGTCATGTACCACCTGTATAGTAATTTTCTGTGTGCCTCTATGTGTGTGTAACACTTTGTGAGTTTGGATAAGTCATTGATGGCACGCAACCAGTCTACATCGGGTATCTTGAGGGAGCAGTCGTCTACCCATCTTGTTTTGCATAGCAGGGTTTGGTTTGGTTGTGTATCAGTCCACATCCCGTAACATAGGGATATGGCCTTCTGTTTACTTGGTGTGGTCCAACACCTGTTAAGGTTATTTGTCGCTGGTATTAGTGTGTCATTAGGTTTTGTGTGGTGTAGCTGTACATGTGCTGTTATAATTCATTTTAGTCTTAGGTAGGTGAACAGTTCTTTGGTTGGCAATTGTCACTTGGTTTGTAGGTCTGTGAATTGTATTACCTTTTTGTTGTTTATAATTTGGTAAATGTGGGTAATTCCTGCTTTAACCCAATTCGCCAGTAGTAAGTCTGGGGTTGTGGCCTTTAGGGCAGTTAGGGGAGCTTGGGCATGGAAGACAGTTTTGCAGTCTAGTGCGTGCATGAATTTGTCCCATACACTCATCGTATACGTTGTGGTGGGGAACAATTTAAGTTTAGGTGGTCTGAGGTGTTTGGGTGTCCACATTAAGTCAACCAAATTATGTTCTGGTAGTTGTGTCCTCTCCATGTCCACCCATTGAAGTTCTCCGGCTGGTGAGTGTAAGAGTATGCCTGTCGCTAGTGCTGTTGCTTTATAGTATTGGTAGATATTTGGGAGGCCTGTTCCTCCTTTTGTGATGTGTGCTTGTAGTATTGTGCTGGGTACTCTGGGTTTCGTGTTGCACCAAATAAATGAGTTGCATATCGTTTGTAATGCCTTGAGTGTAGATTGTTAAACTCTAATGGGTAGCATCCAAAACACGTACAGTATTTTGGGTAGTATGGACATTTTATATGCATTGATTTTCCCTAGCCAGGACAGGTGTGTGTGTGTGTGTGTGTGTGTGACCATTTCAACATTTCTGTTTTGCATTGTTGTGGTAGTGGCAGATAGTTATATTTTATTATTGTGGCAATAGATGTCCCGATTTTTATGCCTAGATATGTGAGGGAGGAGGACCTCCAGTCAAATTGGTATCGGTCTTTCATGCGTTGTTGTTTCTCTCATGGCATACATAGCTGTAATGCTTGGGTTTTGTCTTGGTTGAGTTTATAGTGGGATACCTGACCAAATTCTTTGAGAGTTTGCATGAGGTGTGGGAGGGATTGTTCTGGGTTTTCCAATGAGACTAGTACATCATCAGCGAACAATGACAGTTTGTGTTCTTTGCCTAGTACCTCGATTCCTTTGATACGCGAGTGTGTGTGTATTTTTAGTGCTAGTGGTTCCAGCGAAAGGATGTATAGTAGGGGGGACAGAGGGCATCCCTGACGCGTTCCATTTGTTATGTTAAATTTGTCTGATATGAACCCTCCGTTTGATACTCTGGCCGCTGGGCTACTGTAAAGTGCACCTATCCCTTTGATTATCTTGGCTGGAAAGCCATATTTCTCCAATACTTTCGACATGTATGCCCAGTTAAGGCGGTCGAAGGCCTTCTCCGCATCTCGGTCGCATGTCCCTCCGCTGCAGCCAGTATAGTGAGGATCTTACGGGTGTTGTCAGAACCCGGATGAACCCGGACTGGTCGTTATGCACTAGCCGGCCGAGGATTGGGGCCAGTCTATTACTCAGGATCTTTTGGCATCGCCATTTAATAAAGATATGGGTCTGAAATTTTTGCACATTGTAGGCGACTTTCCAGGTTTAGGTAGGGTGGAGATATGCGCCAAGAGTATTTTGGCGGGTAGAGCTCCCCGCTCTGCGCACTTTTGGTACAACGTGAGCAAATGAGGGGAGAGATTTTGTGTGATCGTTTTATAATACCTATTAGTAAGACCATCTGGACCTGGGGCTTTGTTTGTTGGCAGGCTTGTTATTACTTGCATAATTTCAGTTAGTGTTATGGGTTGTTGTAGGGATTGTATTGTCGTCGGTGTAAGGAAGGGTAGGTGTAGGTTGGCCAAAAACCTGTCCATGTCTGCTGAAGTAGGCACGTTGGTGGTCTGATCTTCTTTGAGATTATACAATTTATGATAGTACTCTGCGAACATGTTAACGATTTTACGAGGGTCAATGATTTTTTGACCATTATTTCCTTTGAGGTAGGCAATCCTGGAGGCACTTGTTTTTTGTTTAAGCTGTGTTGCTAGTGTGGCTCCAGCTTTGTTCCCTGCCATGAAGAATTTGTTTTGATTTTTGTAAAAAATACGTAGTTTTAGCCAATTCTATATCTCTTAGTTTGGTTTGTAGTTGCAGCAGTTTGCGGTGTGTGTCCATGGTAGGTGAATGTTTGTTCTTATGTGTCAGGAGTTTAATTTCGTCCATGAGGGTCATGTATTGTGCTCGTCGGGAGCGTTGGACCTGGGTAGCATGTTTAATAAAACTACCTCTTATAACCGCCTTGTGTGCTAGCCAGGTGTAGTCGGGATCTATGTCTGGCTTGGTATTGTCCGCAAAATAATTTTGGAGGTCTAATGTGATTTGCTCCACTATGTGTGGATTGGTGAGCAAGGATTCATTTAGTCCAGGGTCATCGTTTTGGGAGCGTGGTCTGACCACGTAATAATGCCAATGTTTGTGTGTAATACTTTCGGTAGGGACATTGTTTTAAGTAAAAACCTGTCTATTCTTGAGTAGCTATTGTGCGCAGGGGTATGACAGGTATAGACAATGTCTGTGGGATGTGTTATCCTCCAGGGGTCTACATAGTCATGAGTGGTTAGGGTATTACAGATATGTTGGGACTGTGTAAGCCGTCGTTTAGATGTTGTGGGTGTTACAGTGTCCGAGGCAGAGGAGTCTTTGATACTGTCCAGGAGGAAATTGGTATCGCCTCCAAGTATTACCTCCCCAAAGCTATACACTTTCAACAATGAAAATACATGTGATATGAACGATTCCTGGTTTTCATTGGGCCCATAGATATTCATTAATGGGAAGGGACTGTTATTGATATGGCATTGGAGGATGAGGTATCTGCCTTTATTATCACTAATTTTGCAAACTAGTTCAAAAGTAGTAGATTTACTCACTAGAATAGAAACTCCTCTCTTCTTTTTGGAGTAGCAAGAGAGGTAGTCTATCGGGAACCAGTGTGAATTAAACCTGGGCCGGGAGCCCCATTTAAAATGCGTTTCTTGGAAGAAGCCTATGTGCGCCTTCTGTTTCCTGGCCTCCAGTAGTGCCAGTCGCCGCTTATTTGGCGAATTTAACCCTCTTGTGTTTAGGGAGAGTATTGTGATCGGCATCCTGTTGGTAAAAGTTAGGTTGGGTGGGGCAGGGAATCTTCCCTCTTGTTTGGTAATAGTGCACTTGCTTCAGTTTTGCTATCGCTGGATTCTGAGCGAAGGGTGGTAGGTAGAAATGGGTGGGAGGGGGGAAACAAGAACTATATACAAGACCCGTTAGCCAAATGGCACAGCGCAGTGATCTGCAAACCGGTATGGTGTGGCTTGTTATTTAAGCCGTATGGGGGATTGTGGGCGGTAGAGCGTTAGATACTTCTGAGTGGATTACGGGAGTTGTGTCCTTCAACAGGTGTATAGTATTCAGTATTAATGTGTGATTATTGTTGCAGCTACTCTGCTCGGGCGTCACTTACAGTATAGCCGTGAAGGCGGGGTAATAACACAATTTAACAAAAACTTACCCAAGTGACATCCGCCTAGTGTGGACTTGTGGCTGTGGATCACATTGCGGGTGAAAACAGCCGCAGGGTCTCACAGGGGAGTGATAGGTAAACAGTATCAACATATTACACTTTGAATACATATCTGCGAGTCTTCATTGGTGGTCTGTGGGATTGCGCTTGGGTGCGCTGGTAGGCGGCATGTCCGGTGCCCTTGTGCGTGTCTCGTGCCAGGGGACTGTATGCAAGTCTCTGGTAAGTTTCCTAGGCAGTGATGCTGTGGGTGATCTGAAGTTGGATGGTTGGTGGATAGGTATGTTCCATTCTTTAAGCAGCTGTATGCCATCATGCGGCGTGAGGATGATTCGATCTGTTCCATTCTTCTTAAGTATGAGTTTCGCTGGGAATCCCCACTTGTATGGTATGGCGGCGGAGTGCTGTGGTGATGGGAGCAAAGGCTCTCCTTTTGGACATCGTCGTTGCCGAAAGGTCAATAAACAGCTTGATGTCTGTAAACGGGGCTGGGAGTGGTGTAGCGGCCCTAGAAGCCTGCATTAGTTGGTCTTTCACTGTGAAGTAGTGTACCCTTGTAATTACATCTCTTGGGGTGGAGGGTGGTAGGTGTCTGGGTTTCGGCAGGCGGTGCGTACAGTCCAGGCGGAGGTCTGAGGCCTCAAGGTTGGGAATCAGGGCTCGGAACATATCTCGGACAAATTTAGTTAGGTCTTGTGGGCCTATGTTTTCCGGTACGCCTCTCAGCCTTATATTATTCCGCCGGTCTCGGTCCTCGTTGTCTGCAATTTTCCCCTCTAAGTAAAACACTTTCTGTTGAAGTGTGGTGTGTGCTTCTGCTAATTCGTTGTGTGCTGGCTTGTAGTGAGCGCAGCATGTTGCACACCGACGCATTTGTGGCCGGTTGCGAGTTTGGGGTGTCTGGGATTTCTTGGCTGTCCCCGGTATCGTGATCTGATATAGGTGAGTTCGGGTCACCGTCGCCATCTTGGTCGCTGTAATGCACCATTTTTAGATGTGAGTGCAATGTTTTCTGTTTTAGTTTCTTACTTGATTTTGTGGACATGTCCACCCCTGCGATCCGGGCGGCCCCTAGTTGTGCTGGTGTGTCTGTTAAGCTGAGAAACACGCTGTTCGGTCCACGGTATGGAGGAGCTCGCTTTATATGCGACTGCTTCCATGCGGTGTCCGGCCACGCCCCCTTTATTTTAATTTTTTTAAAGATTTGTATTCATATTAAATTATCTTTCATATATATATTTTTGATGTGAAATGAAAACTCTTTTTCTCCTGAACAAAATTATAAATAATAGGTGTGGGTACAATTAATATGAAAGAGGTATATTTATGGTTGAACAGACCTATAGCACAAATTCCAGGATTTCTTTTGTTTCGGAACTTGGTCAATCTTAAGGGGTTAAGATGGTTTTGGTACTTAGTGTACGTTTCAAAAAAACAAAACATAATTGCTAAAATATAATAGACTTGCTTAAGATAGACCAAGATTGGAGCAGAGATTATCATCTAATATTGTCATGTGAAAGGGTGTGTTACTTGTGATTTATTTTACCTTCCCATGTTTATAAATAACACATTACTGGCAGTGGAATTAAATGAGCAAAAGGAACAATGACTTCAGTGGGTTAACAGGTGAACAACACCTGCAAATATTGTTTGCCTCTCCTTTTTAAGTGTGTTAAGGGGTTGCACCAGTTTTTATATTTTGTATCCGTTTTCTTACTGAAACACAATCCAGAAACTCAGAAATGGTTTTTAAAAAAAAAAAAAAAATATACAATAAGATTATCAATAGACATCATATCATGGATACTGACCTTAAAAAAACCACCACAGATGGTGGGCCTATCTTATCTTATGGTTCTATAAAACTGTAAAATTTGTAACTGTATTTCTCTAATTGTTCTTTGTTTGAACAGTATGTGAGAGATGACATTTTTTCCTCTCCTATTTCCCATTAGACATATATAGAAATATGGAGTTTCATGAAGTACATAGCACTGGGAATGAACCCCCTCTTCTACTGATGATAGGGTATACGGATGGAATGCAGATCTGGAGCATACCAGTGAGTACATCGTTCCATTAACATATTGTTTTTTGTGTGCATTTTATAAGGTAATTAACTGTGGTAAAGTTAATGAAGAAATATACACGTGGATTTATGATAATTCCCTAATGACATTTACTAATCCTTTTCAGCTTGCTTCCCTAAACTCTTTGAAGGCAACTAAGAACGTTGGAATTTTTTTTTTTGCCATATAAAAGCATTTTAGCGTTTTATATACGTTGGTTGTCCTGGTGACAGACCTAAAAGATGCCTTGTTTTCTACAGCATGGAGAAACCCACTATGTGCTCTTTATATATCTACACATAGGTCTAACTTTATAGAGCTGTTTTTCACATACCAAAGTTTTTGAAATTTCTGTTTTGTGTTTTTTGTTCCCTCCCCCCCCCTCTCTTTTTGAGAAGACATCACATATTTTACCTTGGTAGTTTTAAATAATATCAGTAACACCGTCACTGTTGTTAATCAAATGGGAATGATCAAGAAATGCAAAGAATATTTTTACTTTTAGGACAGAAGATAAACTTTTCCTTTTTAGATAATTTTTGTTCTAAAATGTTTGAGTACTGGTTAGCCATAATAGTATCCCAGGTATGTGACATGTTTTGAGTATATCATGTGACCATTAGGGTTACTAACTAAAGTGAAAATTCAAAGTGAATATCAGATTTAAGGCCAAAGTAGCCAAACTGGAAGCATAGTTGGCTTAGAGAAGTTTGGCTATTTATAGTTTGAAATTCACTATGAATTCACCTTGAATTCTCAATTTAGTGACTAACGCTGAATGTGTTGGAGGTATATCAAGTGATAATGGTTTGTGTCCCTGTGGCGAAACCAACCTCGCCACTGGGCATTGGAGAAGACTGATTGCCAGCCTCCTGCCATGTGACTATGGTCCCTGGGATGTACTGCCCTTTAAGGAACTGCTTTGGGGTTTATTGGACTGTGTATGGCCCTTTGAGAACTGTATTTGGGCATAATGGATTTTTATTGTGCTGTTTCTGGCCCTTTAAGTACTTTGGGAAAGGACCTGCAGTTTTGGCATGGCACTTCGGATGCAGCCGAAGTAGTCGAAGTGGCCGCCATTAGAAAACCGAACACGTGGCCATTTTGATTCATTCGAATGCAGTCAGCGTCACGAACACCGCTGAAGTTTTACCTTCCCTGGAACAAAGGCATTTGACAGTTTATTCGACAATTTGAATGGTTGTCGTTCGTCTGTTTGAACTGACTTTAACATGGGAAAGAGACCGGTCGCACAGCCTGATTCTCTGGAACTGTTTTGGGCATGAAAATGTGCTTGCGGTCGGTCAAAGGTGACTTATATCTATCTCCCGAACGGCTGAACGGATTTGAATGATTTTTGGGTATGTTTGTATTTGAAATATGCTGATTAATAATATGTGACTTTTATTAATATTGGATGTATAGTTTTAGAGTTATGAAAGTTGGGTAAACAGTATATTTTAAACTGTACGGCTAATTATGTTACCTCTCAGGCTAAGGGGAGGAGATGTGTGGGATGTAACCAGTGTGTGATTGGGTAATTCATAACTGTCTGTGGGCGTCTCCCTTGCAGTGGAAAATTGCATAAAAGCAGAGTGTGTGTCATTAAAAACCTCAGTTCTACTTCACCCTCAATTTGGAGTGCCGTCCCTTATTGGGGAAATCTGCTACAAGGGATTGCTATGCTAGACATACTCTCTTGCTATATTCACTGCTAAGTTCTTGTAAGAACTTGTTCCTGTTTTGCTCTCTGAAGGAGTCTACGGTGGTTATGGTGTCTGCTGGAGTGCTTGAAACCCTCATGAAGCGCTAGGAGCATCCTTCAATGGAGGTACCCAGTCGGGGTGCCCGTCGATCCGTTACAGTCCCTTATGGTCATTATATATTTGAAATGAAAGTTATACATTAATGCATTATAATTTAGTGCTTAGGTAGGCAGCTGTAATTTGTTTGTAATTTGCAGGACTATTCACTAAACTAAAAATTCAAAGTGAATTTTAAATTTAAAAGTCAAAGTAGCCGAATAAAAAGCATAGTTGACATTTAATTTTTCCAGTGGTTTTTTCCCTTCACTTTGAAACTCACTTAGAACACTGTTAATCACTGGGACGCTTTTTCTGTAATTTCCCATTTCACATTTAAAGGACCACTCTAGGCACCCAGACCACTTCAGCTTAATGAAGTGGTCTGGGTGCCAGGTCCCTCTAGGGTTAACCCATTTTTTTATAAACATAGCAGTTTCAGAGAAACTGCTATGTTTATAAATAGGTTAATCCTTCCCCCAAAGCCTCTAGTGGCTGTCTCATTAACAGCCGCTAGAGCCGCTTGCGTGATTCTCACTGTGAAAATCACATTGAGAGCACGCAAGCGTCCATAGGAAAGCATTGATAATGCTTTCCTATGCGACCGGCTGAATTCGCGCGCAGCTCTGGACGGGGAGGAGGAGGATCGGAGGAGGAGAGCTCCCCGCCCAGCGCTGGAAAAAGGTAAGTTTTACCCCTTTTCCCCTTTCCAGAGCCGGGCGAGAGGGGGACCCTGAGGGTGGGGGCACCCTCAGGGCACTATAGTGCCAGGAAAACTTTAAAGGAACACTTAAAGTACCATTACCACTACAACAGTGGCATCTTCTTTCAGTAAAAGTTCAGTTGAGTGCTCTCAGCCAATGATCCGATCTGCCTTGCTTTATTCATTTGAGATGTCTGACTTCTCATAGAGGAGTAGGCTGAATGTAGCTCTGGTGTCAGAGGGACCAGGTAAGTTGTCAAACTAAAACCGCTTTAATACTTAATGTGGGACAGTGCCAAGGCACATGTAGTAGTTCTGCTGCTTTTAGTGTTCTTTTAAAGGGATTCTATAGTGCCAGGAAAACAAAGCCATTTTACTGGCACTATAGAATCCTACAGGACCCCCTTCTGTCGCGCTCACCCTCCTGAACCACTTCAGTCACTTTCCAGAATCTTGCGCCGATGTCCCTCTGCGCTGTCACACTTTGCCCACGCTCCTCCCCTGCTGCCAACAGGAGGTGTGCCTATATCTATATTTTTTATTGAAATCCTCATTTATCCCTATCATAAATGATGTGTTCAATGTATATTGCGGTAGTTATTGTAACCTGTCATGATAGATTAACCACCACTGCAGGATAAATAGGTGTTGATGTATATAAAAAAAAATCTATCTATCATATATTTATATATGTCTCACTTCACAGATACACATTTACTAAATATAGGTGATAATAAACATAATACTAAAAAAAAACATTGGGAATTTCCAATTCTCCTTTAACCCCTTAAGGACAGAGCTTCAGAAGCTTGTCTTTCACTGAATGACAACAGCATTTTTTGCTGTTTGCGTTCAACTGCAACTTGCATTTTACGAATTTATTGCACTGACACATATATCGTTTTTTTAAAGGACAGAAAGGGCTTTAATTTGATGTTATATATATATATATATATATATATATATATATATATATATATATATATATATATATATATATATATATATATATATATATATATATATACAGGGAGTGCAGAATTATTAGGCAAATGAGTATTTTGACCACATCATCCTCTTTATGCATGTTGTCTTACTCCAAGCTGTATAGGCTCGAAAGCCTACTACCAATTAAGCATATTAGGTGATGTGCATCTCTGTAATGAGAAGGGGTGTGGTCTAATGACATCAACACCCTATATCAGGTGTGCATAATTATTAGGCAACTTCCTTTCCTTTGGCAAAATGGGTCAAAAGAAGGACTTGACAGGCTCAGAAAAGTCAAAAATAGTGAGATATCTTGCAGAGGGATGCAACACTCTTAAAATTGCAAAGCTTCTGAAGCGTGATCATTGAACAATCAAGCGTTTCATTCAAAATAGTCAACAGGGTCGCAAGAAGCGTGTGGAAAAACCAAGGCGCAAAATAACTGCCCATGAACTGAGAAAAGTCAAGCGTGCAGCTGCCACGATGCCACTTGCCACCAGTTTGGCCATATTTCAGAGCTGCAACATCACTGGAGTGCCCAAAAGCACAAGGTGTGCAATACTCAGAGACATGGCCAAGGTAAGAAAGGCTGAAAGACGACCACCACTGAACAAGACACACAAGCTGAAACGTCAAGACTGGGCCAAGAAATATCTCAAGACTGATTTTTCTAAGGTTTTATGGACTGATGAAATGAGAGTGAGTCTTGATGGGCCAGATGGATGGGCCCGTGGCTGGATTGGTAAAGGGCAGAGAGCTCCAGTCCGACTCAGACGCCAGCAAGGTGGAGGTGGAGTACTGGTTTGGGCTGGTATCATCAAAGATGAGCTTGTGGGGCCTTTTCGGGTTGAGGATGGAGTCAAGCTCAACTCCCAGTCCTACTGCCAGTTCCTGGAAGACACCTTCTTCAAGCAGTGGTACAGGAAGAAGTCTGCATCCTTCAAGAAAAACATGATTTTCATGCAGGACAATGCTCCATCACACGCGTCCAAGTACTCCACAGCGTGGCTGGCAAGAAAGGGTATAAAAGAAGAAAATCTAATGACATGGCCTCCTTGTTCACCTGATCTGAACCCCATTGAGAACCTGTGGTCCATCATCAAATGTGAGATTTACAAGGAGGGAAAACAGTACACCTCTCTGAACAGTGTCTGGGAGGCTGTGGTTGCTGCTGCACGCAATGTTGATGGTGAACAGATCAAAACACTGACAGAATCCATGGATGGCAGGCTTTTGAGTGTCCTTGCAAAGAAAGGTGGCTATATTGGTCACTGATTTGTTTTTGTTTTGTTTTTGAATGTCAGAAATGTATATTTGTGAATGTTGAGATGTTATATTGGTTTCACTGGTAATAATAAATAATTGAAATGGGTATATATTTGTTTTTTGTTAAGTTGCCTAATAATTATGCACAGTAATAGTCACCTGCACACACAGATATCCCCCTAACATAGCTAAACTAAAAACAAACTAAAAACTACTTCCAAAAATATTCAGCTTTGATATTAATGAGTTTTTTGGG